CCATTTTATAACTGGGGAAACTGAGGCCCAGAGGCATTAGGTGACTTGGTCAAGGGGTTGCGGCCTCACGAGAACCAAGAGTGGCTTTGGGGAAGGGACCCATGACAGGAGGCCCCCAAGAGCCTCCCCTGGACCAGCACCATACCAAGCACCACAGTGCAGGGGGACCAAGCCTTCAGAGAGGCTGGTTGCTTGGCTGGTTCAGGCATGGCCATCGGTGCCTGATGACCTCAGGCAGGTGCTCTGTGCCCAGGCCCCACAGACCTATCTGCAGGGAGCTGTCCGAACCTGCCACCCCAGGGCTGGGCCCCCTCTTGGGCTCTAAATGCCGATAAGGGTGAGGGGCTGGGCTCCCAGGGGGAGGAGGCCCGAGATGTCTGCCTCCTCCCTCTGTGCATGGACTTTGCTGATTCCTACTGGGATGGGTCCCTGCACTGGACAAGGGGCAGGAAGGGCTGGGTGGGCATAGGAGAGGGGGCTAGGCGGGGAGGCAGCTGGCCCAGCCCGGACTCAGGGAGGGTGAGGCTGGAGACCTGCCCTACAGAACTGGGCCTCGGGGCGGCACCATGCCTGCCTCTTGGGGGCTGGGTCAGCCAGCGCCCCACCTGGGAGCCCAAGCAAGACCTGCACCACCACCCCCCACAGATAAGTCCTCCCTCGGCACCCCTTTCCCTCCCCGCTTGCTTCTGCTGCCAGGCCCATGCAGCACCATCTCCTGGGGTGCCCCTCAGCCCAGGACCCAAACGCCTCCGCCTGCCCTGCCCCTCTGTGCATGCTGTCACCCTGGCCCCTTCCACCTCCATGCCCTGTGGTGCAGTGGCACCCACACTCACAGGCACCTGTGTGGCTGGACGAGGGATCCCCAAAATGGACTAGATGTGGATGGAGGCAAAGAGAGAACCAGCCCCGTGCTCTCAGGCTGGGAGGTGGCAGGCACGTGGCTCCGTCACCCCGGGCACCTGTGCTGCCTGCTCTGGCACACAGCGCACCTCATGTCCACTGCTGTACGGGGCGCTCACCCTGGCTGAGGTGCTGCTTTGGGGCTGGGCCCAGCAACCCAGCCATCACGTCAGCAGAGATGGAGCGAACTCGCAAAGTGCTGGCCAACAGGTGGGGTGCCTGGGGTCCCACGTCCTGTGCACCAGAGCCCAGGAGGCCCCCGCCCCTCCCCAGAGCTGGGCACCCTCCTTTCCTCTGCGTCCTGTGCAGCCTCCCGACCAAGCCGGAGGGCCCCAGCACCCAGCTCCTGTGTGGGGCTCGCCCTGGCCCTGGGGCGGCTGTGGGGCAGAGGCGGGAAGTGCAGGGTCAATGCCAAGGGGCCGTTTTAATGTCAGGGCAGCATCCGAGTTCCCCACGTCCTGCAGCTCGGCTCTGCGGGGCACGTTCCTAGCCCCGCTCCTCAGAACACAGCTGTGGCTCAAACCTCAGCAGGTTGCGCTGGCCCAGGAGGGAGCCTGGTCTCTGTCCTCCTGTGCCACCAGCACTGCCTTGTATGTGGGGGCGCACTACTCTCCATTCTGCTGGGGCTGCCCAGAGATCCTGGTGAACCCCTAAACCTCAGGATTCCATTTCCTTATCTGCAAATTGGGGATGCGGAAACACACAAGGAAACACGTATAAAACGTCCTAGGACCAAAGGTGCTGAAGTTTTTAGAATTTTTGTTGTTTTGTTGGCAGTTGCCCCCACCCCCATTTAGAACTCCTGTGGGGGGACCCAGCCACCTTATCCCCCACACTTTTCAGCCTGCTGGCCCCACCCTCAGGAGCTCCAAGGCCACCTTCTTAATAACCACTGAGAGGGAAGATCAAGGGAGACTGCCCCCAGGCTGCCAGTCCCCGCTCCTACAGGTGCAGCTTAGGGTCAGGGGTCACCAGGGCCACCCACCAGCTAGGAGCTTGACGGGGCAAAACCTGCCCCACTTCCCTTGTCACAGAGGGCAACTCTCTTTCCTAGAATGCGCTTCCTTGGCCAGAGGGGACCAGCGCCTGTCCCCACCCTTCAGACAGGAGCACACACTGCTCCCCTTTCCGGAGCCCCTCCCGGCTGTGGCGGCGGATCTTTGGTTCCTTTCTCTAGGCCTAACCCCGCCACCCCGTTCAGCTCTGGGGTTCACTGGGTGAGTATGAGAGCCACCCCCCCACACACCAGCCCCGGTTTCTCAGTTGAGACCCTCAAGGAGATCTGGCTTTTAGGCT